ATATGTTGATATGTACCATTAAATTTTATAGATATTGTTTTTTTCAAAAGGCCATTATTACGAAGGATAAAAGTTCCTTTACTACACTGATGAACTTTTAGTCCTTCTGCTTGTACTCTTCTTTGTAAAATCTCATCTATTGGCTCATCTCGCTTTACGCTTCGGTCACGGGTAGCCAATTCACGGTATACTAAAAAATCTTTAATTATTCGACTCGGCGACCAAAGTCTATAAAAGTAATAATATTAAAGTTGAAATATGCTGTTAAATATATAAATATATATAAATATATATAAATATATAAATATATATATATGAAAGTTGTTATTTGAAAAAAGCATGTACCGTCCGTCAGTCCATCTTTTAATTCCCGACTCGTGTTCGTCGAAGACATATCTAAAGACAATATCAATAATGGTCGATAGAACATGAACAAATAAGTAGCTTTAAAAAAATATGCTTACACTTGACCACTTCGTAGCTCCTCTTTTTCTTTTTCTAATAAACGACGCGTAGTTCTCTGAAGAATTCCTTTACGGCAGGCCTCTGAAATCACAAGGCCAAAAAAAAGGTTAAAGAATGAGGACTCATCTTGTTAATATTTCCTCCTAAAAAACGCTTAGCCTTACCAAAGATGATCATCGCATCGTTTACGGTTTGAATTTTACCTGTATAAGTCGAAAGATCGCGTCATTAATGAAGAACATTTGTATTCTTTTTTCAATTAAAAAAAAAAAAAACTTATTAAGATAAAAAGTTTTTTTTTCACAATAATATAATCCTTTCACATATATTCAAGCATACGAGTTTAGAGTTTAGAACAAATATCCCTCTATTTGTATATCCAAAATTCCAAATTAGAACATACCATTAAACGTTTCCATAAAGATTGTTTATATACAAAAACACGCAAATTGAAAAAAAAAGAACCAAAAAAAAGATATCGCTTTCTTTTTTTTTTTTTTTAATAATTGTAATAGTCTTTTACAGTTTTATATAATTTTATAAAAAATATTTATGTAAAAAATGATACTGTTTCCATTAGATGGGGCGTTTTAGTACATGTCGACAAGTTATACGAGTTAATTTAGATACATGATATTTTTTTTATAGAGTCATATATATATATATAATTAAAAGAATTTGACAAGAGGGTATCAAATAATAAAGATGCATTGATTGATTAGTGAATGAATCAGATATAAACTCACAAACCATTTTGTTATTTTTGGTTTGTTTCTTTCATTTTTTTTTTGTTTTTGGCGGTAATCTTTTATTTTGTGATTTACTACCGAATAATATCTAATGACTATTTTTTAATATATCAATGAGTTGGCGTCAGCGTGGATCATGACGTTGAATCAACAGCCAATATATGATTGGATTTTTTTTTTCTTTTTGTTTTTGATGACGTTCGAGTGAGCTTTATGTGGCCTGATATTTTGTCACGAAGAACATCGTCATTCTAATTACTTTTTTTTTTTTTTTTTGAAAATATGCATTTATTGTTTAACAAATTTGATTAATAATGCGTTTAACACGAAACGGTAGATTTTATATGCATTGAAATTATAATGTAATAATGCACTTTCTACTATTCGTTATTAATAAATAAAGGTACTATACATTAGAAATCGGACGTGACATCACCCAATAGCTTCAGAAATCTTTCGTTAAGAACTTAAACTATTTCATTATTACACACCTGACTATTAAACCTTAAGCATATATTCTTTAGGAATAATAAGATTGGATCTGTAATTGTGTAATTGTAGCTAACTTTATTATGTCATTCTGTAAAACACTATTGTGAAGTTCAATTGGTGATTTATTAATGTTTTGTACGTATAATACTGTAACTAAGTATAATAACGATAAAGTTCATTTGGTGTATAAAGAATAGATAACTTTATATGATAATCACATGATAAATTTGCTTGATACTGCAGTACTGTAAAATACTCTATTATTTTTAGATAAAATTTAAATTCAAAAGGTATAGTATTATGATTCGTTTTTTAATAAACAAAATCCCTATAAAAAAATATAATAGCCAATATGTTCCGAAAATATTCCGAATTTAATATTCCAGCAATGTTCAGATAGTTATTTTTTTTTTAAGTTTATATTCGGAAAATTTTCGGAATATCTTAGAAATCACCACAGTACGTATTCCAGAAAATGAGCATTTTCCGGAATGATTACCCTAAAATATCCTAAATATATATCTCTAAAAATCGTAAAAAGAATTCGAATATACCATATTACTACTCAGGCAATTTCATGATCATTTTTATATAAAATAGGGCCAAGAATTA